TTTGGACCTATAGTTAACACCTTGTAGACAGATTTTGATTTTGAACAGATAGTCTATCTAAAAAAAAGCAGGGCGTTCAAGACGAGGTGGTAATAATAACGATTAGACATGAAACTAACTCCCATAATAGTCCGCCGCTACGCACAACCATGAGCTACCTCGTTTTCCGGAATGCTCTGCCTCACAAGAATATATCCCGTTTTCATTGTTATGAATTGGCAACTATTAAATTACCGAGCTAGAGATAATATGTACTACAGGTTATGTACAAAGTCCGTAATCAGACTAACACGTTTCCCTCACCCCAAAAGTAAAAATATATAGTACATCAGCAAATGAAAAAGAGGCAAGTATGAGAGCCCAAACAGTAAAAAGTGGTGCAACCACACTTCGCCCCTTCCCGGAGTAACATAAAGCTATAAGAGATAATCCATGAGGAAATGACGAGTGATCGCTTCTCTAGTGACTTTCAGTTCTTCAGAGGCTTCACGTAGCTTGGAGGCCACTTCTGAACGGGATCCATTTACCAAGCCCTAAAAAACAAATCAGCAGTAAAAGATAAAGGCTCCTTGATCAGTTTTTCCAGAGTGGTATAAAATTCCAATAGTAAATTGTTAATCGGTTTGGATGGACACTTGGCTCATACTTCACAGACACCGTGAGGATAACATGAAATTCAGTGCCGGTGTTTCTAACTTTCCCAAACATATTCAGCTGCTTCTGTATGAGTGGCTGAATGAGTAAATCTGCTCGAGTTTAGCCTTGAATGTGTAGCACGGCTGGCAGCAATAGGAAGTGCTGTGACAAACAGGACAACTGGTTGAATCCCACTTTTTCCATCCACAAGTCCCGAAAAGTGAGCTATGAGCCATGGAGCTCATAGCTCTTCTTTCAATACTGTGAACTCATAGAAATAGGAAGAAATGTGATGGAAAATGAAAATAAAAAGGAAAGTAGTGGTGAGCCTTCACTTACCTTCACACTCAACGTTACCGTTAAGAGATCAATCGCAATTCCGACTGCTGTAAGTGCATGCACAGCTCCCTTAGCCATAGCCGTTGGTAGAGTTGCCTTGAAGTAGGAAGGAAACCATAGAAAGCCCTGAACGAGAACAAATGAAAACACTTACCGATTCCTTTAGTACAAGGCGAACTGCCCCTCCAGCAAGCGAGACCGCTCCAACTCGTCCGCTGGATATCACGGTTTCTCGGTTCAATTTGCTGGTCGTACACTTAGCCCTCATCTCTATGTTGTTACTCTAAATACTAGACTAGCACTGAAAAAAAATTATGTAACGTCTGTTACAAACTGATAACATGCCCCCGAAAAAATGCAAGGTTCTTCAAGAATCTCACGGAAAGAATTGATTCCTTAGTTTCTTCAAGCGAAGCAATACTATTTGCCAGAGTTTCTGTCATCCTTCGATCATACTCTAGCATTTCCTTTGCAGCTAGGACATTTTTCTGAAATACCATACCTTTGGAAATGCGAAAAATGCCAAGGAATATTGTTATCACTTTTAGGTTGTGCAATTTGAAAAGACCGGTGGCCATGTTTGAAGCTGCCGCAACGCCACCAACAGCTAGCCCTGAACATAAAACAGTGCTGGTTTAGCTTGATAACATACGGTAAGAAAGGAAAATAAGTGTTCAACGAATCTATTATATATTGTCCAACAATAGGAGCGTATATTTATATAAACTTAAACTGCCATGAGCGCCGTTCACTTCCAAAGATTCCACTCAATCAGATGGTAGGTCGCGAACAAGCGTGCGGTCGCGATGTATTACTGTGGCTAAGATCTCGTTCATGTCTCATTACCCAACGATCCCAACAACATTTGTATACGTACTTACGGTGTTATATTGCCGAGAGTGTGGTTAATGTACGTCGGCAATGTGTCAGCGCAAAGTTTGAATGCAGCCAATGACGTTACGCTACGACTATATGTTACTGCAGAGATTCTAATCATATGAATGCATAAAGAGAAGCTCTCAATTCACTTCACTTACAGTATACCATCCCCAGAGAGGATTACGAAGCGAATATCCTGACGAAACTATTTGTTTGGAATTAAAAATAAAATAATACTACAAAAAGATTAGATATGAACACGACCTGCAACCGCAACGGGTGGCATCAAAATAACACCTCCTATGACAGCGGCTCCACCACCTATTCCAGCCACACCACCAACCACATTCGAAATATTACATCCACGTTCCCATTTGTCCAGCTGAAACATCCTATACACCTGTTTCCCTTGAAAAATCTTGGGAAATAGTATAGAGAACAAGAAATGAAGAAACGAAGAACGCGTGTAAAGAAGCTCCATACAGATTTTTGTGAGATGAAATCCATTCTATCGGACCGAAAAAGAGCTTTGCCAGGTGAGCGAAAAAAATAAAGTTGGCGAATGGCTGAATTCGGGGATCGGTTCACCAATGACCAAGAAAAGGCAATAGATGTAGTATAAACGGCATCCGAAGACCGAAACACAGAACTCGAATTAACCTCATCAGCAATTCGACGCAATTCTTCTTCAGCAACCTCCCTGTTATCCATCCAACAGTTTAAAAGAATCATTGTCTTATCGTGAGCACCTTTGTACAAAAGGAAGTCATCTTCCGGAACCTACAATAAGTTGCCTGGGAGTAAATTTGAGATGATTAGTGGTCGGAATTCAGGATTCTCACTCTAAACTAACTCAGCCCCATCGAACGACAAACAAGATAAAATTAGTAAAGCTCCTATGCAGATGAAAGAACTGGCACACAGTCCATCCAAAAAAACTTACCAGGATTTTTCCATTCCTTTCGTCGTATCTTGGAACACCATCTGAAGCTATTGGTAACAATTGCAGACGGGTTTGCTCCTCCATAACAATTAAAGCTGACTGGAAAATGATCGATCAATTTTACCTAGCCTTTAACAGAATCTAAAGCATTCAACCCAAAGCGATAGGCACCACAATCTAATCATGGGCGTTAATTTCCAAGGGAAACAAAAGTAGTCCGGGGGGTAAGTTAGTTTAGATAGTCTGAAGGTAGGGAATAAAGTACGTGGCAAAATGATGCATGCAAGACTATAAGAGACGCAGACGATGATAGAAATGTTTACATTGTAGCAAGCAAGAGCAAACTTTTCATTTTTCCGAAATCATGAGCCATCATACCTTTTGCTATTCCCTAATGTTATACTGTTTCAGTACAGGTTCTGGTGAGAGTTCAACAGCGATGTACAGAAGGCGATGCAGCCGGCTGGTTCGCCTTGCCTTCTAAGGCACATTAACTTGCTTTTATAGTTCACGATGTACATATGGCAAACGCTCGTGTCGTTACCGCGACGCACGGTCGACGCATGCGGCAATCGATCAAAGGTGTTTTGTATCATGTCGGACAGAATTCACTCAAAAACATGGTTTGTAAACCTACTGATGACCCACATTAGCGGTTAAAGTATAAATGTAATGTCACCTCTTTCAAAACTGCGCACACGTTTGGAGGGTCGCTGTGAAAAGGAAGGGTGGTGGCCCCGTTGACAATGTTTGATAGTAATCTAGTGCAACTCGTTACGTCACTGTCCAGTTTCGTCATCATGGTCTCAGGGCGAAATGATCATATACGGTAAAGAAACATGAGCATCAAGAAACGACGCGGAATTTCAGGTTGGGCGTCAATAAAGGAAAATGGGCAACCCTAATACACCAGAAGGTGGGCCAGGTGCTAATGTTCAACGGAGGGAAACGGGCACAAGAAAAGGCCGAGGTCCACAATTTCCACTATGTCAACGGAGAGCGGGTCGATGAAACCAAGCGTAGAATGGTGGAGGGCAGAGACTGAACCACTGCCGAACTTCCCCACAAGAACGGCCTCTGTTGAAAAGTTGGACAATTTACGTCTAAAACTTGAGCTCAGTTTCTTAGAGAAATAGGTTCAATATCGGTATGATGCTACCGATAAGAATCTTTCCCTACCAGAGTCACTGCTACCCTTGAAACGCGCTGACTATAAGGTAAACAAAGATGGGTTCGCCCACTGAATACAAAAATCACAAGCATCAGGTTCGGATGGATGCAGATCACGAGGCGTCAGGAATGACTTCAGAAATTCAGGAATGAATCCAGGCCGTCAGGAATTCATGGTCACACGGTCAAGGTGTTGAAATCTGGATTCGCCCCCGATCTACAACCGGTCGTTGTCCGAAACAGATCTCAACGGCTTGATCAGTTTAGGCAGGTGTCAATGGCAGCCGCTAGAACAACCGATCGCTGACTGAAGCAGACCTGAACAGCACCTTATTCTAGTAGAGGGATTTCAGCGTCCTGTGACCGAGTGACGCAGTAACGCAGTAAGTTGTTGTTCTTACACTTACTTGTTCAGGAAATGCGTAGCCCACTTGACTGAACAGTGGAATATTAGCCATTTATTTGCTCTTCTGCTCATTTTATTCGAGAAGAAGCAAATTTTCAAATCAAATGGCCTAATAATAGCCGAACACTTGGAACGCCTTTAGCTTCTATACTGGTTAGGCCGGAGTCATAATCAGCACGCACGATCAAATACAAATGTGACGAATCTGCACTTTTGGGAGCTAATGAGTAGTCTACTATATTTAAACGGATATTTTTTACCAAAAATTTAGACTGCCCATAATGATATATAAAAGGGGAAGTTCTGATTGGGTTTCATCCCTTCAAAGGCTCTCCCGGGTACCACCCATTTCAAGCTTCAGGCCGATGTCCCAGACATTACCCCATTTCATACTAACTTCTCACATAAACTTCTTGAACTGTTGTAGAACCCATGTACCTCTTCAATCACAGAACATAGTGGACAAGTAAGTATTCATCATATTAACCAGAATCGATCACTTCATTAAGTATTGTAGAGATTTGCTTGCAAATCCACATCGCCTTGGTGCAAACCTTGACAAATCAGTGATTTGAAAAGAAAAAGATCACAGCCCAAACGTCGGCATTTTCAACAATAGCTTATACAACTAACCATAAATTTTATTCTCCAAACCCAAAGAAAGAAGCATCTATCACATTTGGAAAACAAATATGTCGTGAATATTTACCAAGTCATCAAAAGCAAAATCTATTTTGAAAAAAAGAGAGCTATCCCACCCTCTGTGCTTTAATCATAAAATAAATATTTCGGATCATTTTATAAAAAGAGTCACATCTGGCGATGTAGTTGTATCACACGAATCATCTGCTCCACAAACAATTAACAGGAATTCCTCGGCTCGAGATGCTGTTAAACTAGCAACTAATAATGTCATCTATATTGAAAATTTTAATTAAACTGCACTTAAATTATCAGAATGAAGGTTCGTGAAGATGATTGAAGAGTACATCGTGATTTAAGGATCCTGAAAATAGTAAACTCGTCCACTACAAATAAGAGCGAAATTCCATCCCAAGCTAAGCAGAAACTCAAAAACTTAATATGATAGCAAACAACTTAAATACATAACCATGACCACAACACAAAGCAAATACATCTAAAATATCACAAGCCTTACTGAAAGTGATAATGCTGCCTATGATTTCGCAGGAGCACGCTAAAACAAACCAGGTACTTCTGGCAATAAAGGCAAAAACCTAAACAAACCATCAACGTACCGACATGTAAGAAGAGAAAGACGTAGAAATAGATGAAAACTTTTCAGCAACCTTCGAAGCACCAGCACGTAAAGAATCCTTTATATCTGACATTTCAGGCACCTGCAAGAACTTTTATTAATGCCTTTTTCAGAACAAGAGGCGGAAATATAGAAGTTCAACCTCCACATAAAAAAGTTGAAGCGAATAAATAGCAACAAAAGAAGCATTTAAACAACCTGGGAATACTGAGGTTGGCTTCCTTGACCCCACAAATCCGCCGAACCCAATGACGACTGCCCCTCGAAACGAGAGAGCGCTGCCTTCGTTTCATACTGAAATAAAGAATGAGGGTTAAATCCATCTCTAAATATGGCAGATAGATGTATGAAAGAGAATAATAGTGCGACCTTTCAAGAGGTAATCATCAAGTCGACTCGAAAAACCTACATCCATCTCATTACTGCCGAAATACATGTCACTAGAAATAGCTTTTGCACCAGCAAACTTCTTCTGAATGTCTACATCTGATTTTGGAGCGGCCACCACTGGTTTTCTGGCCGACGAACTTGAGGACGTACTCCTGAATGTTCGATTGTTTCGATAAATTCTTTTGACAAGCTAGCATTAATCGCAGCTGGAAAACCGCTGACCTCTTGTTGTCCATCTGTTGTTGTTGATCATCCCAACTATCGAAGAAATCAGTTCGCGGTTTCGACGAATAATCGGTGGTGAAAAGGTCGTCGTCATTCTTATTTCTGAACGTTCGTGATTTCAAGCCAAAAAAGGCCAGAAACTCTAGAGAACATATGCAAGATGAATTCTATAAAAGTTACAATGTCTTTCCCTCCAGAATTTCCCATTCGTCTTCACTCTTTTGCGAGAGCGAAACTGTTGGCTCGGCTCGTTTACTCAAATCCACCTGAAACACAATTTGAGTCACGTCAAAAAACACTCGGTATACAGCATTTGAACAGCTTAACACAAACCTGTCGGATAGGTTTCACACCTTGCGCCACCGAATGCGCTGCACGAGGCCTTCCGAATCCACCCATTCCCAATCGATCCACGGCCGCTGCTTTTTGCGGATCCTAAAGTTTCCAATGAGGCTGAGCAATTTCGTTTGTCAAGTCTGACCTTTTTGAGAACGGATGGATCTTAGAGTTCAAAGCGAAAAAAACAAGACCCCTAACGAAAATATCCAGGTGTGGGAAGAAACAAATAAATATGAAAGCTATGAGAAGAACTGCGTACTCACCTCGCTTGCCTTTTTCTGTATGTCTTGCATAGCCAGTCGAGCACTTAATTTGGTTACAGGATCGATTTGTGTCTCCAATTTTTCTATTTGAGAAGCAGTAACACCAAGCTTGAAACGAAACAAGTAAAGTGTTATAAAATGTCTTCAAAAACAATTGGTGTGGTCCAACAAAAAACCCATACAAATCAAGGAGTCTACCTCTGCATGACTTTTTTCATGCTCAGCCGCTCTTTGCTCCAACTCATCGAAATCAATACGTACTTTTTGTGCGCCCAGAGCGGACTTTTTGGCACCCTAAACCAAAACAGTAGCTTATGATTAGCGTATTCCCAAAATATATTTGGTTCGCAGCGTTTTACGCAGGTTCTCCATTAATTCAATGAGATAAAACCATCGAGTGTTGAAGAAAATAAAAACAGAAAAGGAAACTTTAAAATCAAAAGCCAAGAAAATCAGCTAAGTTGGTATGAATGTCACAGCAAAGCAACTTCCAATAAAATGAAGAGCATACCCCAGCTTTCTTAATCGGCTTCTTGAGAATTATCGAAACAGGTGCAGATGTAGGAACCGGTTCAGAGTCGATATGGTCGACTTTCGGTCCTTAAGAAATTATATACAGTGCATTTGTTAGATGTATACAAAAACTGAGTAGAATACAAACCAAGCAAAACACATGTGGACACAATGGAAACAATATCTGCTGCACTGAACTGGACTATGGAAATAGCTGGGATTATCACCATGATGAAAACGCTGTGTTTACGATCAGAAAAAGTTCTACTATTCAAAAAACAGATTGCAAAATCATGCTATGGAAATCTTAGACAGGTCCTTCAATCTTTTTCAGCCACCACTTCTTATATTACAGTATATCCGTGAAGGTTCCTGTCCTAATCTTGTCAACTGTTATATCTCCACGATATATCGCTGTATGCCTTTGATAAATAGCCCCCCTCTACGCTATCTTGGAGTATAAAAGGAGATGAACTCAAAATACCGTGTTCATTCGACAGATCGCCATCTGAACCAATTCTGTCATTGTCCTTTGCTATATAGGCTTCACTGCTCAACGATGTTGCACTTTGAGAAGCATGAACAAAGTCCTGAGCGAAGAAATCTTCCTAAAACAGGAGTATCTGATAAGTATGTGGGCGCTCTCAGGGAGATTTGACACAAAATATCTTCCATTGCTGGGAATGTGAAGTTTGTGTAACCTCTTTATGCTCCTCAACAACGGCTGCTGTGTCAATGAAAACCGTATTCCCATATTTGTTTTGTACTTCCCTACAGAGTTGAGCGAGCTTCTCCTGAATAAATCATTAGAGGATAAGAAAAAATAGTGGAGCAAAATGAGTACTTTAACGAACAATTTCATTAGAAAACGACATACTCTGTACAGCTGAGCAGCTCTACTCTTATACTTTATTTGGGCGTCATTGCTGTTACATCCATGATGCTTGAAAAACTGCATCTAAAGAAAAGCAGAGGATAAGCTTCAAACAAATTCGAAACCAAAAAATAAGCAAGTAATCCGAAACAGTAACTACAACTTAGAGTCAGAACCAAAACAGTGCGATTTTCATTTATGCTGCAAGATCAGAATGTTCAATTCCTATATCTGTAGCGGGAGCCAGAACACTTTTTTGCTTGCCATTTTTGCCAGAGCAATACCCGAACCATCTATTTAATATGCAATTCTTGACACCAGTTAAAGCTACAGTTTATCGAAGACGAAGGCAAATTGAGATATTGGGCTAATAACGACGGTTGAACGAATTTTCGAGGATTCCTTTTCAGAACAAGTTTACAAAAAACTACTATTCAGTTATGAGTAGAATTTACCGCGTTAGCGTTGCCGCCTACTTGCATGGCACGTAACTGAAGCCACGTCCAATTGACATCGAGGTTTGTGGAACGAACAAAAGTGAGGTGTACTCCAAGATTCCGGTGGGTAGCTGAGCAGTCAATGCAAAGAAAAACTCCTGAAACCGTAGAGTGAGAACAATGAAGGTAATGGAAAAAGATAAAATAGGGATCATGATATATCTCAGGGCGCGCAAAATTTATATTAGCTTGACTTCGACGAATCCTGACAAAAAGCAATTAGATGTTCGAGCAAGAATAATCGAAAATTTGTGTATTGATACAGGACGCTGAGAAAAACCACCATAAGAGCACTATTAAAATTAATCACCTCAATAGATATAGTGCTCACGTAATAAAATAAAATTAAATTAAATTAAATAATAGTTTGAAAGAAACGCACCGTATGTTACCGTTGCCCAAGTTGGATTTCGTGCATTGCAATCAAAGCAGAGCTGCAAAAAAAGTGTTTGGTCGGAAACGACTAAAATGGCTTAGAAGT